TTTATTTTTTTTCTTTATTTAAAGTATTATTATTATTTTCTGGGAGCCCCACTGTGAATTGTATGTACGGAGTATCCCCAGAGTTGACCGATAAGATGGGACTGACTCGACAGAATGTCGGAATCGGAATGTGATTGGGTTGTTTCTATTCTTAAATTATACTATACAAGTTGTATTCCGTCGCGTTACTCTGGCTTAATACTTGACTTTGTAATATTTAATATATTTGTAAAAAACAAAAAAATTCTATTATTTCTAGAGTCTTAATAAAAAATATATAATAGAGCTGTTTGACTCAACCCTGTAGGAAGGAGCTATATACCTAATTATCAGGGCGTTGGTTCGTGCAGACAGACTAATCAGAGCTGATACTCAGATAGACTACAGATCAAGCTATATACAGATAGATAGATAAGATATAACTCCAAGAGCTACAGTGGGGGTCCAAAAGTATGTGGCCCCCTATACTTAAAGGTACCTAGCTTCTCGTACTAGACAGATAGAGCCACTGGGTACCTTTATGTATTGGGGGTCACATACTTTTGGACCCCCACTGTACATACAACAGAATCAGCGGGGAGGTATACAGTCTAAAGTCACGTTAGCAGGCGGTTATAGTAGGCAGAATAGGCGGTGCGGGATCGCACCATGGCAGATATTGAGATTTTAACAAAGTACGTATTTTGTAGAATAAAATCCGAGTATCATAACATTTTTAATCTATTACTTTACATATATTGTCACACACTCTAGATACCAGGAGCATATGGGAACATCAAAAATAGGTCAACCAGATACTCGGGATCCGGTATGTACGTCGAGACCTCATCCACGTACTACGATATCCCCGGGGCCGCTCTGAATAGTGAGAAGGCTAAACGCCAGTGCATACATAGTAGTCCACCCACACAAGTCCGAACAACTCGCATCAATCTGTGTATTCCACAAGCGGAACTCAGCAAGGGTGATGCCCGCTGCCGTCTCAATCGAGTAGCAATCATTCCCGGGTTTGACCTTGTAAAAGGTCTTGCAGTTGCTCACGATCCCCGGCATCTGCTGCTGCGGCATCTGCTGCTGGGGCAGCTTTGTATCCCATGGCAGGAATCAATTGAGTGAAAGGGAAAAGGAAATGTGGGATGTTGATTGTGGTTCTTGGGCTTACGGTTGCGAGTGTGATTTTATACCTACTAGTATAGCAGTAAGTCCTCCCACGTGCTCCAGCCGGTTTTTATGTGCTGTAACGTGTGCATTCGACTGGGTATGTCTTGTACATTTGGCGATTGATTATGTTCGCGTGATGCATATTGGTGCGATTGGCTACCACATACTAATATGGAGGGCTCGGACCTACTAGATCAAGTATCCTACCAGCGAATGGATTGCCCCACAATGCCTGAGCAATGGCCTCCTTGGCATTATGAAAAGGCTATCCTCATGAGTTGTGCATCTTTACTGCGGATATCCGGATTCTACCGGATCAGCCGCGGCTCTAATACTGGGGACGGGCCTCTCCGGGGTGACATCGGGTCAGCCTTAGCCTCGGCCAAGAACTACTACTAATATACTCCATATGCCTCTACCGAATCGATAGCTACTAGTGCATCAAATGGGACGGAGTACCCGCGCAACAATATCCTATTACGGAAAATATCAAAGCACTAGCATACAACGAAATGGTCTGTCAAAAGCCTGTACCACAGAGATAGCCGACCTCATTCACGCGAGACCGTAAGCGAGCAGCAAACCCATCACTAATATCCATGGCCTCTCGACGTATGATGGCCCCACAGGGGCCGCATTTTCAGACGATGGGGTTGGGCAGCTCAGCCCTGTGCGGCGGAGCGGGTTGGCGCAGGCAGTACCGGTCAAGGCCGCCGAAATACTTGTGGCAGCTGAGGAGTCAATCTTGACGTTACAAGGACGAGCAGTCGGCAACCGATCCGCAGTGACTGCACAGTAAGAACCACGCCAAGTAGGCTTTGGAGCGTACCAGTCTGTTGTTCGTGTTACGCTGCCCCAGATTTGCCCGGATGGAACGTTCAAAAGCTCCGGGACATGTATGGCCTGAGCCAAGGTTTCTTCACAGGTATCATCCTCGGTTAGGGCGACAAAGTCCGGTGGCGAAGTGCCATTCTTAATAGAGAAGAAAGACTGGCTCCCACCGTGTCCACCCAGATATACAAGCGTGAAATCTGTACTCTCCGGTTCACGAGAGCAGTTATACATATCGAGAGCCCAGATGATCTCGAATGTCCCTTCAATATCAAACTTGCTGGTGCTCCAATAGAGGAAGGATGGATCGCTTCCGGTAAAATTAACCTTCTCTAATTCGATGCTACCTGAGTAAGAGACCTTTTCACTGCTGTTGACATTTACTTGGTCGATGTAATATCGAATTCGCGGATGGACGCTTGACAGGAGACTGGGATTTTGGATGGCGAATATGATCGGGGTCAGCGTGGAGGGAGGATAGCTCCCATTGCGCGGAAAGATCAAGTCGACTTCCGCAACCCCTGGAATAATAGAGGCCCAGCCACAAGCGAGGCATAGAGAGAGGGCCAGGCGAAGCCAACCCCGAGGCAGGGGACCCATGCTAGTCGTCGTGGTGGGAGCGAAATGCAAAAGAGATAAGTTGATGGGTTGGAATTTGGAAATTAGAAGAGACGGCGACCATGGTTCCTTAATATGTTGCTGGGGTCTTGGCCCCTGGAGATGGCTTCATTGAAGCGATACTAACGGCGCTTAGCGAGATGGACTAGTATGCAGGAACAGTTGCATTGTGGACGCAGCCAAGCCTCATTTCCGGGAGTTAGGTTTGCCGACAGGATGGATACATGCATCGAAATAAAAGCAAGACATATTTCCTGTCTAACTTGGAGCTTCATCGTTGGGTATTGGATAGCTAAGGCTGAGCACATGAAATGAGCAGCGTGAAAGCATAGTCCTTTCTACTCATCCATATCCATCGCAACCCTTTGGCCCTCCAGCTAGCGAAGTTATATATGATTTTGTACATAAATGTCAGATGTTATAGATAACTATATATCTTGATTGCATATCATATAGAAAAGGAGGATCGGGCGAGGTCAATTGCTACCACTACTATGTACATACTAGTACATGCATGTAAAGACATCCGCAATCTCGACAGAGGAAATAGATCTCCTCTGCAATCTTGACCAGATGGCCATGCTAAATGGATTCCAACATGACAAAACGGGGAAATCACCAGGCAAGAGCCCCATCGCATAGAAATTCGAATACACAGACAACCCGGGTATGATCTTTCTGCCTCGCTAAGAACGCCGTTGAACGCTTGTTTCCCAAATTTGATACGACAAATGCATCGGGCAAATAGATAGTGGGGAGTAAAGTACTTGCAAAGTATACAAAAAAAAGAAGAAAGTAAAAAATTCTAGAGGGGAATCCCATGTCATGTCTCATCATCCCCGACGTCCTCTACCGTTGCCACCCGTGCTTTGCCCTTCGATGGTGATGACGATGAGCTATCCTCTGCCACACCATCCTCACTATGATGGACACCCTCACCATGTCCAACGGATAGAGAGCTGGGCTTCTCAGGTTGTCCCTCAGTTGTCACTTCTGTCCATTGCTCCGACGCTGGGTCAGCATCGTCCGTCGCGGTGGTTGGCGCTACTGCGGAACCCCAACCTGGCAGGGTACGAGAACCGGAATTCACCTGGCTAGGACCTTGGTCATCCTGGTTTTCATTCACACCGTTCTCCGCCAAGGCGGGCGTCTGGGGCTCGGAGCTGCCGTCAGGCGTCCGTACAGAGGGAGCTGCCACAGGAACAGTTGGAGTGGGCGTCACGCTTGCCGCTCCACTCGAGCCCTGCTCCGCTGAGTGGAGGGGAAGAAGGGACCAGCCCGGAGGAAGGCTAAGTCCTTCGGGTAGTCGTGTATCGCCAGCCGTCATGGCCGGTGCTCTCGGGTCTGATATGAATTGTCGGCGAGTCGTTGTTATTGTAGACGACGAGGGAATAGTAGGGTTCTGCGATGAAATGTTCGGCAAATCCAGGGGGGTTGCCTGAGGATTCGGGAGACTCCGAAGCCGCTGAAGCTCGGTCTGTAACAAGCGGACCAGATGGAGTTGATCTGCAGTGACCCGGAGATTGTTGATCTCTTGCATAATCTGCTGTTCTAATTGGGAAAGGTGGCTTTGTATATCAGAGACGGGAGCTGGGGCTGGCGACGGGTGGGCGGTTGGTGGTGGTGCTGGACGCCCGAAGCCAAAACCAAACCCGATCTGTCTCGCACCAGGGTTGCCATTATTTGCTGGTTGCAAGGGAGCATTGCCTTGATGAATTTGCTGATGAAGATTGTGGAACATGTCACCTCGGCCCGCGCCGAACCCAATCCGGAAGGGTCCAAATTGGTATACACGAGCCCTTGGTAAACCATCAGCGGCTACATTTCTCCCGGCAGGCTGATTTCCAGCAGGGCCACCTTGTAGACCCCCAGCACCCCCGTTGCCTTGTCCATCGTTTACCCCCGCCCCTGGCTGGCCACGGTGACGAGGCGGCGCGACAACTGGGCGTCGACAAGTTGGGCAGTTTTGTTGTCTTTCCAGCCAGCTGCGAAGACAGGCGAAATGCAAGATGTGACCACAAGGGAGCTTCTTCGGGCGGAGTCTCTCGGAAACCCGTCCTCTTGTTGGCCCAGCTCCGTCCGCGGGTTGCTGCCACTGTGCCATTTCCTCCCGACAAATAATGCAGACTTCTTCCCGTGCGATTTCCTCTGCGGTTGCATCTGGATATCGCTCGTTCATGTCACGAGTAGCATTGCGGTAGCGAAGGAAATCCATAATTCTTCGACCGAAGGAGCGAATCGTCACCACTACGTCGCGCAGGATATGAATTGGCAGTCCGTAGAAAGTGAAGAGGATGGCAAAGAACGAGAGATACACGGTCAGCTTCAAGAAGTCCGTAAGCAGATCGAGATAGAAAACCCAGCGGCCTTTTTCCTCCCATCCTGGAACATCAAGTTCCATCTCATTGATGTCGTTCTCGTCGGGCAGGTTAGTAGGAGGAGAGAGTTCTCCTGCTTGCGCACTCCGACGAATAGCCTCCTGTCTCTCAGTTCGAATCTCCTGACGACGCTCCTCCACCCTGGCCTTCAGCTGTTGGTGAGTAACATAGATCTCGACCAGAGAAATTGAGTACCTGGCGGCAGTCGAACTCGATAGGATGGTGAGGATGGCGAACTCGAAGCCGAACATGACCATCATGTCAGGGCGTGCTTGCTCAAGAACCGTCCGAACACAGTACTTTAACATGAAAGAATTGAACAAAACCGCGAGGAGCAGGGAAATTGCCAGGCGAGTATGGAACAGGCGAGGGTTAGCTGGGGGTTGTTGTTCCAGGTATTCCACGCGGCCCTCGCCAATCCAGCCCCAAACCTTTCCGACGAGTAAACAGACGAACATAACCAAAAACCAGCCCCCCAGCTCGCCCCGGAATATGGTCATGGCCAGACAAGTTTCGGTAACGGCGAACCATGCCTTTTCATACAACTGTTCGGTTTCGATGGGTCGCAAGGGGCCGTAAAGGAGACGCTGAAGCCAGAAAAGAAGGAAACCGACTGCCAACAGACACACATTTGTCAGGATCTGCATCTGTTAGAAGATATCCTCTCAAGTGGTCTTTAGGCGCGGAGCTCATTGGAAGAGCGCATGCGGCGGCGACCTACCATGAGATTGGCACTGCTCTGAGAAAGGTAAACGCAGGCCGAGTAGAAGTTCGCCCTCTGATGAAGCGCCTTTAAGAAGACACCCGTGGCTAGGGCCACTGAGACCTGTAAAGTGAGGCAGGGTCAGTTTTCCATTGAAATGCGAACGGAACCATGCGTGCCACTTACCCCAGTATATGCGGCAAGTCTCATGACAGCAGAGGCGGGCGAGAAGCCCGATGTCCTTGACAAAAAGCCGAAATTAGAAGCCAGTAAGTTTGTCAGAGGGACATCGACAGCGGATAAACAAAATCAACACAATAGGAGGAGAGGAAAGTGAAGAGGATTGAAGATTTAGGCCAGCGACCGCGTGGGCGGGAATTGGAGATGTTCTGGACAGCTATGCTATACTTACTTTGTCGAAGCAATATGGGGGGGGAACCCGTCACCGCCCGCCGGGACCTTACGTCAGCGGGTATCCGGTTATTGTCTCTTTTGAGTTTAGTCTGGACGTGGAGTATAGATATGGATCCCGTTGTGAAATACGGAGCGTGCACAACATTAAGTTGGCTTAGAACCATGGCCTTTACACCCTTTATTATCATCTATAATAATAGCCTTACTATACGGGGCAGACACCGTGTCAACTAGCTAAGATACATAGTAAAAGAGAAGAGGAACTGTCTATCCATCTTTTACTTGCTAATTTAAATGAGATACTAGATTGAACTACTGATTTCTGTTCTTCATGTCGGAGGATCTCACGGAGTAGCATCACGAAGCTCATTGACATCGAAGAAAGTAAGAACTAAAGACTTCTACCATTCAACATGGTTATGATCAAGCGTAAACCCCACGTCAGAGAGTTTTGATTCAAAAAGGTCCTCCAATCGTAGCGGGAATCATCTGGAACGTCAAGGTTGAATCCTCCACTCCGATACGGCTTCAGAGGAATCCAAAACTTGGGATAAAATCCAGCTGATTCCCAATCCAAGATTGCTTTGATGCTACAGTCGTCTGAGATAAGAATATTTGTCGGGCTAAGGTCGGCATGATAGAAATGAAATCTATCGCCAACAGGGGGAGGGGGCTGAGTTGACATTTTCTGGAAATATCTCTCAGCAACAGTGCGAGAAAGTGGTCCTAATGGTCGAGGTTTCCAGGATGGGTGTGATGCTTCGGTATCCACTGTTAAAAAGGGTTCAAGGACTCCGCAACCTGTTGCTGACTGCAAATTCTCTGCGGTGGCTTCAGCAAGGTCGTGGCAATACTGTGCGACAGTAGTAGCGATTTGTACCTTTTGCTGGGAAGTTAGTGATGGCCAGGCCTTCGCAAGAGTTTGCCCTTGAACCCGCCTCAAGATAAGGAAGGTACGGTCCAGCTGCTTGTCGACCCACGAGTAAATGACTTCAGGAAGTGGGATGTGTGGAAACCTGGATGTAACAAAAGCAAGAGTGTCGCTTTCACTTTCCATACCCTCCGACCAAGTTTTGACCTTACAAATTGCCTGGGAGCCATTCTCCCAGACTGCAGATGACATGCCAGCCTGGTATATGAGGCCATCAGTTGCCTCTGGAGAGGATGAATTCACGTCGATATCCTCGAACAGACAGTAATGCCCATCTCTCTCTTTCCAACTGGCTACTGCAGTCTCGGGAATCTCGCTTGTAACCTATTTGCATAGGAACTTCGAGCCCATTCAGTATGTGTCCGTGCCTAATTTCGAGACAGATAGTTCAATTGGCGGGGAGGGCCGGCTATATATATCTATCAGTAGTATATTCAAGACTAAATCAAGGATATAGTCCTTCTAACATAAATAACATCTTCGTAGTGGGTAGTTCGAGGTAAATTAAAGGTATAGTACGGTCAATCAAAGCAATGTAATCGAACAAGCAGGATGCGAGTGTCTGATGCAGTGATTTTTGATGTCATATCCACTAAGACTAACATACACTCATTAGGAGAATGTACATCACGTGGATTTTGTTTGTCTGTCCTACCCGACTCGGGTAGGACTTTTATACTCAATATCCTCTGCAAAGGAACCTTACGCGCCTGCCAGCTCGCTGCCTTTGGATATTTCCACGCACTACGTCGGGATAGAGCACACACAGCGGTGGAAGGCACACGCTATTCCTAAATAGGAGCACTATACCACAGTTCATATACGGAGCATAACGAGGAGATATGATGCATTGGTGTAGATTGAGGTCGAAATAGAAATCAGATAAAGTAAATAAAGTTCGAACGATTTAATATTTTTTTTAAAAAAACCGAAGTAGACTCGGTTCGATCGGCGCCTTCGACGCGCAGTCAGGTGATGTTGGATGTATCGCTTTTTCCACAGCTGACGTTGTCCCTCCATCTGCCAAGATCGGCTTCCCTTAAGACCATATCATAAGCGTATAGTACTGGTTTCCGAGACTTTAGGCTAATTCCTCCAACCCTGAATCAGAACATGACCTGAATTGATCAGAGAAATATGGCTTCCCAACGAGCTCTATTTACGGCGAGCCGCACGCAGACCTTGACCTACTTGCTAGCCGTCTGTCCGTTTTCTATTGCCTTTCTAGTCTATATCAACTCCTCCATCTCGTTTGTGGTCACAGAGTTGATTGGACTACATGATGGCGAAGGGGATGCCGTCGGAACCCTCGGGTTTGCAGATGAATTACTTGCGCTGGTCGCTTGCCCTCTGTGGGGGGTTCTTTCGGACCGCATAGGTGTCCGCCATGTACGCTTCCGTTCACTCCTGATATACTAGTTATGACCTGAAGCCTCATTTCTTCCCTTATAGGTATGTGTGGCTGGCTATAGCATCATAGCCGTCGCATTGGTTGTACTCGTCCAGGCCACGAATGTTTATCCGCAACTTCTTCTGGGACGGTTGTTATTTAGTATTGGCGGCTCTGCGGTCTCGACCATGGTGACGGCAGTTCTTCCAACTGTGACGGGGAGCTCCGACGATCAAGAATCCACCGAGACAGCAGACACGCAAAACGGCTCCAACCATGAAGTGTCATCTCAGACCCAATCAAACGGCGACGCTAGTACGCCTTCCTCTCGATTGGCTGGATTCGTAGGAATGTGCGCTGGCTGCGGCGCCCTTGTATCTCTTGTTATATTCCTCCCACTCCCCGCCAAATTCCAGACCCTCGGCTTATCGCCAGCCGAAGCCATCCAGTGCAGCTACTACGTAGTCGCAGCAGTGGCTCTCCTGGTCAGCTTATGGTGTCTATTCGGGCTCCGGGATCTTCCCGGCGAGGAGAAAAAGACATGGAGCTCACTCTGGTCGACCCAAGAGGAGGAGGACGACGATGAGCCAAGATGCGCTGCTGGCAGCAAATCACGCCTCCCATATCTGGACCAATTTGGCGCGGCTATAGTTCTAGGATGTCGCCACAGTGACATCCTCATCGGCTACATCGGAGGGTTTGTAGCACGCGCCTCATCGGTGGGGATCTCTCTGTTCATTCCCCTCTTTGTCAACCACTATTATCGAGTCCTGGGCGTCTGCAATGACGGCCACAACGAAGGGTCCGGAGATATCAAGCACTCCTGCCCTGATGCGTACAAGCTGGCATCGATCCTGACAGGCGTCTCCCAGCTCGTAGCCTTGATCGCTGCACCAGCGTTCGGGTACTGGTCTGATAAGTCTCGCCGGCACCATCTACCTCTCCTCCTTGCTTGCTTGGCCGGTGTCCTCGGATACACGGCGTTCCCACTTCTCCCCACACCCAAGTTCAGCGGAGAAGGCGGAAGTCCGAGTGTATTCGCCATCATGAGCTTAATCGGTATCAGCCAAATTGGGGCGATTGTCTGCAGTCTGGCCGTATTAAGCAACGGCATCCTGGGTATCGATCTAAACCAGGAAGTCCCAAAACAGGCGTTTGATGCTGAGACAGAATCACACGCCGAAGACGGTGCTTCTCCAGCCAGCGAAATAGACAGCGGTGCAGACCGACAGCCACTGCTCGGAAGGGCCCCCAGGTATCAAAGACAGAAACAGCTGTCCCACTTGAAAGGATCAATAGCCGGCGTGTACTCCCTGTTTGGTGGCGCGGGTATCCTGCTCCTTACTAAGTTAGGTGGCCTTCTCTTTGACGTTTGGTCTTCGGGCGCGCCGTTCTACATCATGGCTGGTTTCAATGGTGCATTGCTCCTGGCGGGCATTGTGGGCTGTCTTGTCAAACGCTCGAGGTAAAGCGTATTTTTTTTGGGGATTATTTAGACTCTTATTTACAGAATGTTGTTTATTTCCCTTTTTCTTTTACCTTCTCGCGTCTGTTCCAATATATATCTATACCACAGATGCCCAGGTTGACACAAGAAAACAAGACAGTAAAGCGGAACTCAGATTATCACTTGCACAGAAGGCATTTCCACCCTGGGACAACACAGTAATTCGTAAACTATTTGATTTTCTACCGTGTCTCTAGTCATAATTCTGTTCGTAGCTGGCTATCTCCGTAATGCCATCCTTCACTTCATAGTTTATTGGAACACCCCCGTCGGCGGTCGTGAATGCTTCGGCCCGGGTCCAGCATGCCCCTGCTTGCGCTCATCGCCTAATGGGCGGACTTCCAGTCCTGCGCGGATAATATTAGTCCGCAGTAATCTTATATGTGCCTCATCAATGTAGCTCGATAAACTCTCCAACACGGCTTCCTGCACTTCTGTCCGTTTATCGGTCTGATTGGACACCAGGACCATCTTTTCCAGGTCAATCCGAGAGTCCAGGGTTCCATCTTGAATGAGACCGATCAATTCTTGAACAAACGGGGACTTTGAGTGGATAGGCTGAGCCTGTCCGCTGGTAGCTGCGGGAGCGAAGATCTTGGACATAGAGTCAAGCGTGACACGGCTGAAAGGAACCAGATACTGCTGAATAGACTTAGTTCGGATGCGAGTGTAGAGAGTGCTGACGTGACGCTGCAAATGGACGTCTAACAGGTAATCGGTTTGGTAAGACTCTAAAATATCAAGACACAGCCGGAACTTCGAATTGCAGAAGAAAGAGATCGCCCGGCGGATATGGGGTTCCAGCTCAAGGAAGTTGCGGAACGAACTGTTGTCTAGCACGCGCCGCTGAAGTTCATTGCGATCCATGGATGCAAGCGCGCAAAGTCCACCATAAACGGCAACATCGTTGGACGTGAGCACTTCGTTGTATGAGTCACCTAAAGTGGGGTCTGTGCTCAAAAAGCTATTGGCAGCTTCTAGATACGCGCCAGAGTGCAACTGGGACAAGCCCATCGCGGCCGACATCTTCGGCTGGTTCTTAGCCTGTTCTTCTTGTTTCGATTGTAGATTGCGTAATCGCTGCACATGAGACTGGACACTCAGCCAGTCCCCACGCTCGATGGCTACATTTATGATTTTAAACAACATTGAGGCGATATGGCTCGGGGTCGTGCAGTAATCTCTCATGCGAGAGTAAGCCTTCGACGCCGACACTAAGTCACCAATTTGATGATAGTGCTGCCCAAGGTCTTCATTGCCCATCTGTGATATCCGGTCAGAACATCTGTCGAAGTATTATAGAGCGCTGCCTGGAAGCTTACTCTTATACTCTCTTTAATAAGGTTGTTTTTATACCCTCTCAGTTCATGCTCTAGTCGATCGGTCTCCGCCTTGACGACCTTCCGTGTACGATCTATCCACTCATTGTCTGGTGTAGCTTCAGCCTCATACGGTGCAGAATCGGCGAGTGCACGGACTGCGCGTTCGTATCGGGAAACATCTTTGCTTGATTTGGCTTCGACAATCGCAGCCTTCAGTGCCTCGACGGAGAGATATGTGGAGCACGTGCCTATTAGAAATAGACGGTTGAACTTGGTTCGGCCTGGAAGTAGCATACCAGTTAGCTAGACATCAACATGGGAGAATGCGCATCATACCAGTATAGTTTGCAATGTACGATTCCAATTCAAACTTAGGTGGGTCTGTTCAGAAAATTAGCATCACTTCCACTGCTGGCACACGCTGATACGTTTGATAAAGCAGACTAGAAAACCGTACCATCAACCTTCACGGACGGCACCGTAGTAGCCGCTACTCCATTTATGCTCTCTATGTCGGGGTTCCCTGCACTGTGTAATTGTCCCGCATATGGACTTGTCGGATGAGAGTCGAAAGCATCAGGCGGCATGGATTCCATTTGGCTAAAATTTGCGTACACCTTGAGCCTGCAATAAAGGAACGGTATTAAGCAACTGTTTAGCTCCCCAGAATCCTCTTGTGTCGATACGAGGGGAACAGTTGAAGCCTCGACAGGTTACACACGGAGCGACTGAGCGATATACCGCACGTCGAAGTGGAGTAACTCTTGGTTACCCAAGCGGTGATAGTTGAGGTCGCTGTAGAGGATATGAAAAGCTCTGATGGCTGAAGCTTCGGGCAGGTAGGAGATAGCTATTCCAGAAGTACTAGTAGAGCCAAAATCACTGTAGCGGGTGTATGTGTGGAGAAAAAGAACAATGGTCTATCAGATGGTCATCATCATCAACAACACACTTATCTCCGCCTACGTCTTCACCGCTTCCACGACCGCCTTTGTCATCCTAATGCCTACAGGGAATATGACATGATTAGTAGCTCACCCTATCCTGTAGGGCGTTTGAAACAGCATTTGAAGACATAGTTAATCTATACAGGAACCGCTCCCTTCCGTAGCAATTCATTGCAACTCAGTATTCTTCATGATGGCGACATAATGGGCTTCGTCACCCCAACTCTGCAAGGGAAGACGAAGACAACTGGATTCAAGCCCGAGTAGAATACAGACAGGCAGATGCAAGATCTCTTCTCTGCGTTCTCCTTTCCTTTTCTTTCTTTCTTTCTTTTTTTCCATTTATAATCCCGTGTTTGGTTGATCTTGACCCCTGTGAATGCTGCGTGAGCTGTTCGATATCGACCAAATAGATCCGCAACATGTTCAAAAGCTAGCTGCGTCAGTCAATAGCCAACCTAGTCAAAAAGAAAGAAATATACATACATTCCTTCATCGAGTGTCTGGATATCCTCAGCGCGAGTATCCTGATTGATGACAATGGGCGTCGACATATCTTTCCAGAGCCAGACTTATCTGACTTAGTTACGTTCAAACAATCGTAAACAGCTCACTGCAATAGTCGTCAGCCACAGCTTGTGACTCCTCAGTCATCACCATATCCCCGGAGACGTTAAATGACAGGCTTGGCAGATTCTCATGAGTACTTTTAGTATATGTGTCAGTGAAACAGTTGTGACAGCTGGCTCAGGTTTCCTACCCGCTCTCATTCGAAGTAGCAAAGGTATCACTGATCATGGCATGTCAGAATCACTCAATTCAAATGAGATATAACACCTTACCTGCGTGTGATTTGGACGTCCACAGCTCTGCTTTATCAGTATATTACCTGGGACGGCGAGAGAACCGGAGGCTACTCACCCACTCGCCTGAACATATACAGAGGCAGAGTTATCTACATGTTCAACCGGAGTACCTGACTCCATCTTGGTACCAGCGGCAAGTCCAGATGAGCTAATCAGGTGGTTAGCAGTAGAAGAATCGGGCCTCATATTGACATCGTGTCTGCAACTTTTGTTAGCGACATGCTTCTTTCACGCCACATATTCAGATCTACCTGTCATAGGCCGCGCCTGCCTGCGAGTGAGCTGGGCTAGCGAAATGAGCAGGGCGAATATTCTCTTTATCCTTATCACCTGCAGGTGGACGAAGAGGAAGGTCCTGGACATCGCGACGGTAAGGGCCACAGTCTCCGTAGTTGAGCTCCGGGCTAACATGTGCCGGGCGAGGGGGTAGTTCGTGTGGTCCCTATTCGCTTAGAGTTAACCATAGTTCGTGCTTTTGAAGTTTGTGCCTTGAGTGAGCACATACTGTGTGGTTCCTTTCACTGGCATGCTCTTGACGCTGTCGCCCACGTCTTCGGCGAGGGCGAACATGACGGCGATGGGTATTCACTCGATACACTCGAATCGGCACAGGTCGGCGTATCCGATTATTCAGCTCAGCGGCCATATTCGCCTATGAAACATGAGAAACTTGTTGTTTTTATATCATCTAGTGTACCTTGCCTTTTACATACCAGATGGAGTAGGCCTTGACGGACCGGACAATCCAGTGAAATGTGGCCGCGCTCCCAGCAAACATGGCAGCGTCGCCGGTCCTGTTTTTACTATGTGAGTATGGGATGTCCTCCCTATAGATGATGTGTCTGGCGCTCAAGGGCCTTACCCCACCGTCGCGCGCCATGATATCGATCAAGCTGGATGGCTCTGAACACAAAGTAGCGTCGTCACAAAGTTGGTAAAGGTAACAGTGGCCAAAGAGACTAAAACAAGTGAGTGATTAGAGGGGATAGAGAGAAGATTGCAACAAGAACGGGGCTGATGTGGAGAGAAGGAGTAGACAAAGCCGATGATGAAGGGAGGAAAGTGTAGACGCAACGACCAAATAGGAAGCCACGGGGCCCTGCCAGATGTGTTACGCCATACAACCAATACTGACGGTTCGTCGGTTTCTGTCAAGTGAATGCGCCTAACATTATCCCGTGCTACGTGAATTTCTGTGATAATTCATCTCGTATCCTTGCCTCATATAGGATTCCATACCCAATATTTCTACCAAGATTCCCACGGCATTTTTATGCCAGTGAGCTGTATGCTTGATGGAAGACGGCTAGAAACCTAAGTGGAGAGAGATAATGTGATTTGGTGCTGGGGTCCTCCACACTTTTCAAGAAATTTTCCAAGCTTTAAATGACAAGTCATGATTATAATTATTAGAGAGAAGTATCATGAAGACATACATACACGCAACGCTCATAATAGAAATGATAAGAAAAAGAACTTCATGCTAGCGAATAATCATGCAGAGACACCGTACGCTATGACTGGAGGTGAAATGTATTAGTGATGGCAAAGGATTTCGTCATGCTGCCTTGGCCGATGACCCATCGCTCCCAGGAATGTTCAGCTGTCAATCCAACTTGCAATGTCATTTAGTCAATGTCATTCTCACAGAAGAGTCGCAAAGCCGGCAAAGAACCCAGCCATCACAACGGCCAGACCGTAGATGTGGCTCAGATCTGCCGATGGCCTGGAGGCAACCCCATTCTTATCCGGGACGCCAGTGAAAGGAGGCAACGAAGTCGTCGCTTGAGCAGTACTGGTAGCTGTAGAAGTGGTAGTATTGACACGCTTAGGTTCCTGAGCGCCACAAGGGTTCTTAGAGCGGCAGTCAGACTGGCACTGTTGTTCACCGTCGCAGTTGCTAACGCATTGGTTGTTTTGCTCAGTGCAAACAAAGTAGGGGATTGTCTGGGAGTATTCAGATGCGTTGGGAGACTGGTTGTTGCTGCAGATACACGAGTATACAAGGGATTTCTGTTTCATAGCCAGAGGAGGCACGTTAGAGTGTCTATTGAGGGCACGATGGATTATATCTATCACTCACGTAGTCGCATTTGTTCTCTTTGGGGTTGCCCGAGGCCCCTGGCAGTTGCAGGCAGATGAGAGGACAAGCCGAGGTCTGTGATTCACACCATTGCTCTATCAAGATCGAAAGTCAGAATGGCTCCTTCAGAGATCTCCAGCTCATGGAGAACACACTTCTCGTCGGTTCTGAAACACTACTTGGGTTGACAGAGCTAGTGGTCTGGCTTGTAGCGAGACTGGCTACAGTGGCAACGACGGCCAAGGAACTAAGGAGAACCATCGCGATGCGTTTGTAAGATAATGAAGCTTAACGAATGACTGTAAAAGCTATCGTGGATGTAATGTTTAGCTTGTAGTTGTACATGGGCAGCATTATTTGGACTGGACTTACCAGGTAGGAGAAGGAGACAACAAGAATAGTGATCTTCCAGTGATGGATAGATTGTTTCCAGATGAAGATGTTGAAATTGGGTGTCAGATTGACAAAGATGTGAAAAAGACAGGTGGAGGAAGATGGAGGGGGGAAAGAAAAAAGAAAGGAAAAAAAGGTGAATGATTCAATGGCCCGATATATACAGCATGTACGACGACCCAGTGCTCCACGTCCTACTCTACTAGTAAGTTTCCCGCCATCCGAAACGAGGTTGGGGTGGCGGCGCTATCAGTCTTCAAAGCTTTGTCTGGCCACCTGGAGAGCTCCTTGTATGCCTCCTAGTAATTTAGCTCACCTGTTATCCCACGTTGAATCGAGGGCGTTTGAACTTCTTCCAGGGTGAAAGGCGGTATGGTTATTACACGAACGAACACCGGTGGGAATTTTACAGGCCTTGAGAGAAACCACCAGCATTGAAAAATGAGCAATTATGAACGGGTCTCGTCTTTTCCTGACATTCTTTCATTTAGGGAAGGGAAAAAAACATCTATCACTGTCGATCCGGGGCAGCTTTCCGACGGTGCCGTATACGGTACGGTACTAGGGTCCGGACTAGCCAACTAGTGCTACAAGAAGGGTGCTGGGCAGGGAGGCCTTCATAGGTAGTGTTTCTAGAATGGCGGTAATGCAGGCCCTGATTGCAGAGCCGTCCAACCTCTGCGCATGATTATGATGGTTCCCCACCTCGGTGATAGGTGGCTATCTTTGGAAGTCCAGACTTGTCTTGACTCTTGAACTTTGACCTCTCTGCGATACCGGGAAAAAACCACGCACATGGTGCTGGAACGGCCTGGAAAGTGCCGGAGCCGTTTAACGACGTTGTGAATGTCTGGGGGGGTTTCCTTGGATTGGGGGGTTGAAATGTCTCAGGTGAAAGTTGTTGATTACCCGAGGTTCAAAGGAAGTGATTGGGCCACCCGATGCTTGGCTTTGCTTTAGTGTGGCTCTATGGACATAGAATACAGTAGTTCAGCATGTCACTACCTCTCAGGGTCTAGTCAGTGTCACTTGGTTTAGTGTATGGACTGTTGGGAAAGGATGGAACGTTGCAACGGAGAGCGAATATATATTAACTATGGATCTCGTGAGCGTTCAATTACTAGATAAGAAAGCCGCCTCACAAAAAATGGTAAAAATCAAAAAATCAAAAGTCAAACATGTGTTGATAATAATGGTCCACATCAATACAGACCAGAGGAATGTTGGTCTCTCCGGAGTACGAGTGGAGTGACACATCCCTAGCAGTTCCGACAACAGGACGTCTGAAGCTAAATACCCCTTTTGGCAGGATAGCCACATGACTTGACTTGCTTCAGACAAAAAGACCAAAAAGAAGTGGGGACTCGGCCCAGTCTCGTGATTTCCGAGCCGGAACTCAATGGGAACTTGAATGGAACCGAATTAAGTCTGGTTTGAACTCCCTCCGTCGATGGGGCCCATTTTTGAGAACACTTGAGCAAAACTTTACGCAAGGGAAACATAAACCAAAGAAAAAAAAAGAAGGAGATCGGCCTCCTATCTTATCAGCCACTGACTTGTGCACCACTTCCAAGTTCCAACATCTGTTCAAATTCCCCCCCGCACTCTACAAAACTCCGACTGAAACACACAGGCCTCTGCGGCGCCAGCAAACTTCGCTAGTCAGATTCGGGTTGTAGTAGAACCACGTTAGTTGTTATCAGGCGGCATCCTTGCTTGATTTGCCTCCGCCACTGGCCGTGAGGTTGCATTCCCGACTTATATTTAGAACGTACCGCGACGGTCAATTTTCCATTCATTGTTCGTCCTGCTCGATATCTAAATGGATGGAGCGAGCGAATGAGGAGACGAGCCTGGTGCCTCGCCCGCAGCCGCTGCCATCCCCTCCACTCCATCCCTCAACAACATCCTCCAGGGTCTCAGACACTGATGCGCTCGTCACGACCTCCCTTGCCAACGGTGTCAGCGTCAGCAATGGCACTGTCTTCCCGCAAGTGCGCAATGGTACCAAAGATCGCCCGGTCTCCGGCATAGTTCCGCCGTACTGGAGTCACCACCGGAATGCATCCCGCACCTCTCAGATCTCGCTCGAACAGCCCGCCATCACTCTCGAAGACCACACAGAGGACCCAGATTCGGAGACGAGCCGTGGACTATGGGCCAGAAGTGTATCTGTAGATGACCATGTTGTCGTCCAGGGGAAGTCCGGTATAGGCGCATACGTGGTGTGGAGCTGTACCATACAAACCCTCGAGGTGCGCATTTCCCTCTCGTCCACCGCATCTCGTGACTTTCGTAAGGATATTCTGGTTCTAACGGCGATTGTAGGGTGGTCCCATAAACGTTCGAATGAGGTACTCTGAATTCGATGACTTACGACAAAAGCTGGTGTCCTCATTCCCGCACGCGAAGAACGCCCTACCAGCTCTACCACCGAAGAGTGTTCTCTGTATGTCTCGCCTACACGTTTTATTACTGCATCTTTCGGCTTCGCTAACACGAGTGCTCTAGTCAAATTCCGCCCAGCATTCCTAGAATCTCGACGGGTCGGGCTGGAATACTTCTTGAAGTAAGTTCCTTGCACACTCATATCGCATTGGTGCACACTGACACGCCGCGCTCACCAGCTGTGTCCTTCTTAATCCTGAATTTTCTAGTTCGCCAGTCGTGAAAGACTTTCTATTTGGCCGCATATGCTAATTGCACGTCGACTGTACTACTTTTATACACTAACAGAATCATGATGTTACGCCTATCTATATATTACCTGGAGTGAATGGGGCTCTAGGGAAACAATAATACCTGTACCTGAGCATGGCTAGATGTCATGCTCCACCACTTATACAGATACGTTCCTCCATCATTGCATGCACCTAAAGCAACATTGCTTTGGTTTCATGGGTTTCATTGATTTCATTGTATTTCTTGACGACTACTGTGGCAGTCTTTGTAAGCATGATTCCACCGTCATTATCGTCGCAGTTCCCTCATCAAGAGCAAAGCAAGGGACAAAAAGGAAAGAAAGACTATCCGCAGCGAACTCCCGAGGCTGAAGTAAAGTAACACGAAAATAACTAGCACGATCATTGTCTTCATCACAAGTTCTTGCTATCCACCCTAACCATCACGTTACTCGCCTCCTCCCTTGCCTTTTGCATATTCTTCGAGTACCGTTTGCCAGCGATCAGCCACCATAGGAGCTCGATAATGATGAATCCGCCAACACAGACGCACGTGTAGTTCATGTTTGAGGCTGTAGATGCGTTAGTATTCTCCGTGTCAAACGTAACTCCCATCTGATAAGATGATGTTGTATATAAGGGAGAGGAGGCGAACGAAAGGTATGTGAAAACCGACGTACCGGTCACGGGCATATAAAACGGAAAACTGAAGAAGACAATGGCAAAGACCAGCCAAATAACGGTAACAATGTTGACGGTCATGCCTGCAATATGCGGGAGGCGAAAAGGGCCGCGATGCATCGTGCTGCGATTCAGCACGACATTAGTGAAGATGGGCACGAGATATGCGAGATTGTTAATAGTCCTGAGGTATATGTTAGTCCGGATGTTTGATCTCGAAGTGTCCGAGAAAGGCGTAGGAGAGCAATAACAACAACGTACGTTGCAGAGCTAAGCATGGAGTTGAAGGCAGTGGTAGATCCTAGATAGATACAACCCAGAAGGCTTACGATCACTGCCACACACATTTGTGCATTCAAGGGGACCCCGAATCGAGGGTTGACTCGGGCCCAGCTTAGGCAGTCAGTGTCTTAACTAGCAGAGTTTAGTTGTTGCTCTACTTACACCTTGGAGAAAGGAAGGCCATCGTCGCGAGCAAAAGCCCAGAGCATTCTTCCAGTGCCTGCGGAGCCATATAGTTAGGAAAAGATATAAATGTTTGAGCTTAAAAGGTGTCATACTGAGCTGTGAGCCAATCATGCAAGGCCCAATGGCAATCCATAGAAGGAATGTCAGTGCGAAAGCGCCTCCACGGCTCTGTGTTGCTTGACCAAAGATCGCTGCCAGTGGTAGACCTGTTGGACTGTCTGCCAGACTCGACCAGTCTTGCACCGAGAACATGAGGCTGAGAAGGTAAGAAAGTCCAGTAATGAAAGCAATAATAAGGGTGCATGCTATTGCAGTGAATTGGTCAGCTCCCTGCGGCGAGAAAGATTGGGGATGCTCGAGACACACCTAGGGCCAAAGGTGCATTACGCCCAGGCTGAACGATATATTAGCCATGACCGTGTTCTGTTGCAATATAATGCTCACGTACATTTGGCATCTCCTCTGTGATATGCTGCAGCCACGTTAGCAATGCGTCAAGAACAAGGAGTTAATGCGTACTGTAATGCCATCCAATCCCCCGAGAGAAAACAGCGGATTCACCAAGCCCGTGATGAAACAGATAACATTGCTTTCCCAACCTGTATTGTTCATCCAGGTTCGAAAAACAAACTTGCTATCATTGTGGGTGGGCGCTGTCGCGGCCACTGTGACCGTGATGACAAACCATGCTAGCTGGAGGTATACCACTGTCTCTTCGCATTAGCAAGCCCCTCATCATTGCTGCCCTAGCACAGCTTACAGGCAAACTTATTGATGCTCGGGATGTAACGATTTCCAAACATAACCACTGCAGATGTCAAGACATTCGAGACCTGATATGCAACAAAAGTCATCCAGGGTTTGAGCTTAATGTCATCGTGATACAACGCAATTAGGGCCATGAAGTTTGAGGCATAGACCAAATTTGTTGATGCTGCCGTGAAAATCCCTGTAGAGTAGTTAGTGCAGCCTCTAGCCAGAATCAATGGTAGTGTTGTCTTCTCACAGCCAAAGACTGTAGAACAGCCGGTCAGAAAGCTCAAGAGACTGTTATAGCGCTTTGGGGCAATAGCTGCGATCCAGTGGTACATTCCACCTTCGACTGGGTAAGCCGAGACGAATTCCGCCAACGACGTGCCCAGGAAGCACTGGAGGATAAAAACGAGGATAAATCCGTAGATAACTAACTTGGTCAGCGATATAACCCTGGATTACTCTATCCGGAGTAGACTATACGAGCACCGGGCCCACCAGCGTTGATGGAGGTGATCAAACCAAGTCCAAGCCCTATCAGCTCACGGTGTCAGCAATGATTGGTCGACCGTATACACAGATAGCCAACGTACCAGTCCAGGATATGGTACAGTTAGCAGCCAGTCCAATTAAGCTCCAAACAGAAAAATGGCGCTTCAGTTCCTGTTTGTGACCTGGTAAATAATGAGTATACATACTAATTTTGCTGTGCTTGGGAAAGCCAATATACCCATTTGGGCCAAACGCAGCTCGTCTGCATCTTGAACTTGGATGACTGCAGACTCTCTGCTGTCTGGAGCTTTCAGGCCAGGAGCAGAAGTATCTGTAGACCTGTACATACTCTCCGCAGGTAGGCACGAGCGCTCTATGTGAGGTTTACTGGCCAGGCGTATCAAAGGATATTAGGGGTGATTATAGCAATGTTTTCAATAGGAAATGAGCAGGAGGTACAGGTCGTGACACACCATGCGAAGGTGTCTTGTCAGTAACACAGGGATGAGGTTAACTGTGAATAAGGGAATGTGTCGGGTGCTTTCACTCCAACAAGTATGAGCAGTAGAAGCATACCTAGACAAATGAGAGCCGGTGATTTCTACTAAGCCGGAGAACTTCCCAGTTCACCGGATTTAGCGGTCAGATCACCGGGAAGACCGGGCGGTGATCACAGATGGCAATGTAACACTGCTTCGGTGTCATCAACTAGTAATACTGATGGTAGTTAGACATCATACTGCCTGTCACGACTGTGTACTATCAGATATATCTCCCGAGCGGGCGCTTATCTGGCCTCTCGGAGCAGCTACAGAAGGTCATTGGCCTACAATGCAAGGGGCCCGACATTGAAATGATGAGCAGTGGAGGTACTTGGAAGCATACCAGCCCTGAGGCCGACATCGATATCAACTACTAGTATATGAAGTGGAAACTCGCCCACACTACCTACTTCAACAACTTGATAAAATTTATATCGTGACTTCGCGGAGTGAGTTCGGTTGGAAGCTTTTAATTCCGATTATCTTGAGACAGGAAAGAGACCAAGGAAAAAGAAGAACAACGAATAAGGAAGGGAGAGTGGATGCCAAAAGGAGGGGGAAGTGGGGAGGAAGGACACAAAAAGAATGGCTGGTCCCAGAGAGGCTCGAACTCTCGACTTCTGAGTTATTAGCTCAGCACTCTAACCGACTGAGTTATGGGACCCGCTTGTTGAAGCAGCGTTCAACTTTAGGCATTATAGAGCACGGTGCTCACAACTTCGACCTTAATAAACCTAGGAGTGTCTTTATCATCTGATGGGAGAGCTCTAGTGAAGGTATTAACCCTACTCACAACCATGGGAAACATAGGATGTACGGCACACATCTATGGACATTAATATTATACTATCTAACTATATACTATCAGAAGCTTTGCATCCATAACCTGTCTTCATAATCACTCTTGCGTGAGCCATCCACAGAGGTCGTAAGTTCATAAGTGGTGCCAGTGGCGTATCCATAGAGGCCATTAGAAACATAATTACAGAAAGTATATATAGTTGAGAAGACAAGCTAGACCAAGTCAGGCTACAGTAGCCTGGCCATGGGCTCTTGATGTTGCAAGGTCTGGGCCTCTCGAAAACACCTCAAATCCCGTCTCAATCCCTATGCACTATTGGCCGGCTCGGGGATTCCTGTCATGATTCACCGTCGGAACAAAATAGTCCGAGCGTGTGCTGATCAGAACGAACTTGGGACACACAAATATCTGGTCAGCCATGGCTAACGTAACCAGCCCATGTTAAAGAAACTATTCAATGACTTTTATAGCGCCCAGCGTTAGTGTCACCACCAGTATTGGCATCCTCGAAATTTCTCTCACCAATGTCACGGTAAGCCTGCTCTCGGGCTGCCGACTTGTCGCGCCGAATCGTCAAACAATTAATTCCCAAGAAAGTCGTGATCCGGTTGATAACCAAGAATGCCCAGTACATATAGATGGCAAAGGCAAAGAGGAGATAAACCCGCAGGTACAGGAGCTCCACCCACGCGCTCATCCCGGGAAGACCAATCCAGGGCAAGTTCACTAAAATGGCACCACCAACTAGAGGGGTTTGCAAGATTGTCCAATGAGGGAATGGCTGTCTCAGAAGATGCGCAAGAATGATCTTGGTAGTCATCCGTCCAAAGACGAATGAGATTGTCCAACAGTACAGCACCAAGCGGTTATCAGCCAATATGCTCGAATAAGGAGAGAAGAGCCAAGCCATATTGCATCCAGTGAAGACGATCATTGGTACCCACTCCTTGAAGATTGGGGATATGGGGAGATTCTGTTTCCTTCTTGAAGAAATGACGTTGTAGACACAACCAGGCAAATGCCCCAAAAAGAACGATGAGAGAAGGAGGGGAATCCAAAGGTCCTTCATGGAGTTGTTTCCAAAGATCTGGGGGATGTTCAAGAACTCGACGATCGGCCGAGACCATATTTCAGGTCCATACCAGCCCGATGCCACCATCAAACCAATTGCGATCAGAAGACCCTCGGTAGGGCCATTGAAGTAGCCGAGGTAGAGTGTATGTGTATGATAGGTCTCCCAGGTGGAGAAATACATTGCGAGGCAAGGAACGAGAGCTGTCCAGGCGCCTAGACTCGTGGAGCCAAAGCCCAACGCGGCAGTCTCTAGTAGACTAGCAAGCGTACAATTCAAGGAGTCGATGCCGTGACTGTTACATGTTAGCAACTGCCCATGTTACTCCCAAAATGCTCACTCACTCAAACAACTCCCCCAACCCACTAGACGTTCCCGTTCTCCGGGCTTGTTTGCCATCAACGTTATCCAGCGTGGAGTACCTTTGGTATGTGAGATAAGACCACTCAATGATATCCAATCTTAATGCTTACATCCACATGCCAAAAGCAAAGCTGTAATATAACCAAGAGGGACCCTATCATCGACAAGGCTTAGTGCTGGGCGAGAAATTGGTAAGCAGGCCGGTTGTTTGCTTACAGGTCCCACAAGGTCAGGCATCAACATCTCTATGAGCATCACATTTCCGACAATGAACATGAAACCCAATAAGGTTACCATGTTCGGAGCTATCCACATCGGCAGGAGTTCGACAAACGCATTCCACTAAAGAGCAAAGACCATTTTTAGACAGGAGTCGCACGGCGAGGATCGCGTGAGGTAGAGGATATCGTACGTAGTGCTTCAGGACATATCTAGAGATAAAGGATTTATCCACACTCTGGTACTTGTAGCTTTTGAGTGGCGCCAGAGCCTCGTCGGAGAGCGAGTCTTGGATCGCTAAGTACGATATAAAGAATCAGCCAAAAAAAGACTTCATGCCTAATATAGAGTCAGGGGACGAACCTTGGATCCTCTCGAAAATTGCGTTCATTTTGCTTCGGATTCCGCCAATGGAATGGTATATCAGTACTTCAGCAAATTGTATCGTACGATTGGGTTTAGTTCATTGCGCTATGAAGTAGGAGGTACAACGACAATTGATGGACGAGAGGTTGAACCAAAATCTGCGGTGCTTATAACAAACACCTAGGGAAACGATCCTTAAATCCCCTGAGAAAAAAGAGTGGAACGAAAAGGGACCCAAGAGGATCGGCGGACGTTCCATCCGCGGATCACAATTTATCACGTGCTGGGCGGGCTGGTCTGTGAGCTCCGCAGCTTTCGACGCAACAACGCGACATGAGAAACAGAGTGAAAGTTGGAGGTTGATGAAGAGCCCTGTGGCTTTTTCTTCTTGCGTTTCACGCTCATTACTGTTTGATAATAGAAAGGTTTCTCCCTATTTCTAGGTGGTATGACTCCTGAGTAAACTTCGTTTTCCTTCAGCTGTCTTTTGAATAACTCTCATCTATCAACCACTTCAGGCCGTTGTTCCCCGCTGCTAAAGCTTCAACTACCGCATACGAGCCTCTTCGCATCAACGATTCAGATTATTTATCATCTCAGTGTCGACTGAAAACGATATTCTAGAGGTTTTCTAATTGCTCCTTGAGCTTGGACATGACGGTAGAGGATCAGGGAAGCGCTCGCGGCGCAGTGCACGACTGAGTACTCTGCGCAATGCCTGGCGTCGTCGATGCTCCTGCCGGCTCTGCCTGGCAGGGACTGGGTTATACCGTTGCGCACCAGAAGGTTGAGCTGGAGCTAGACTTTGCAAATAAGAGCCTCAAGGGAAAAACTGAAATTACGATCCATCCACACTACAAAGAGCTCCGTGTTATTCGATTAAATTTCCGACAGGGCGAGATTAGGCGCTTGAATGTCTGCGGAAAGATACCGTCAATGAAATATGCGGATCCCTACGAGTCGCTACAACTGTACGGTCCCCATTATCATCAACGACTTGCTTCGAAAATAGATGGCTTGCTTAAGTCCCCGCCGGAGCCCGACCTGCTTGTGTCGGTCCCAAAGAGCGTTAGGATTGAAGAACTTGACCCTTTCTCGGTTGAGGCCCAAGACCAAATGGCCCTCCGTGCAACTGGCACTGCCGACGATTCTGAAGGCCCTTTGAGCTCCAAAGCGCCAGATACTACGCTTCCGCGTTTCACGGCACTGACGGTCAACATTGATTTCACTATTGACAATATAAAGGATGGGTTGCAATTCGTGGGGGTCGAGAATGGTGACAGACGTTATCCACATGCCTTCACGACAAACTCGCTTGGATATGGGGCCGGTTGCCCTCTTTTCCCTTGCGTTGACGACACTTCGTCACGTTGCACCTGGGAGCTTTCTATCAAATGCCCCTGTTCGTTGGGGGATGTGTTTGACCGCAAACCCCGCGATCCATCCGGCTCCAGCGCTTCTGGGCGCCCTAAACCGACGTCGAATTTCGGTCGATACATATCTCCGGATGATGAAGCCTTGGACCTACTGGTGGTTTGTTCTGGTGATATGACAGATGAGATTATTGATCCGAAAGATACCAGCAAGAAGACAGTATCCTTCGCGTGTACCTCGCCGCTCTCTGCCCAGCAAGTTGGATTTGCTGTTGGCCCGTTCGAATATGTCAACCTTGCACATTTCCGGGAGAGCGACCAAGATGAGCAGCTTGGCCAGAATGCCATTCCTTTGCATGCTTTTTGCCTTCCCGGGCGAGGCGATGAACTCAGGAACACTTGCTTTCCGATGGCGAAGGCGATCGACTTCTTTTCCTTATCATATGGGTCGTATCCATTCTCAAGTTACAAAATGTGCTTCGTAGATGACGCGCCTGAGGATACGTTGTCGACAGCGTGCTTGTCAATCTGCAGCAGTCATCTCCTATTTCCTGAAGATATCATCGATCCGATGTACGACGCGACCCGTGCTCTTGTTTACGGCCTAGCGTCTCAGTGGATCGGTGTAAACATTGTTCCAAAGGCGCCAACTGATACTTGGGTCACAGTAGGCGTTGCGTGGTTTATCACAGATACGTTCATGAGGAAACTTTGTGGGAATAATGAATATCGCTTTCGACTAAAACAGATGTCTGATAGAGTATGCGAGTTGGATTATGAGCGTCCCTCAATATTTGACATGGGAAATATACTCCAGCTTGACTCCTCTGAGATTGATTTCATAGCACTTAAGGCCCCTCTCGTGCTTTTCATCCTCGACCGAAGGCTTACGAAAGCTAGTGGAAAGGCCACAATGTCCCGCATCATTTCTCGGCTTTTTCTCAATGCTCGAATGGGCGATATCCCGAACGGGGCGGTATCCACTATGCTTTTTCAAAAGACCTGTGAACGACTAGGCCATGCGAAACTGGATTCATTCTTTCAGCAATGGGTCTTTGGTGCTGGATGTCCCCGCTTTCAGGCTACACAGAGGTTCAATAAAAAGAAGCTTGTAGTGGAAATGATGATAAAACAAGTGCAATCGGAACAGCCTAGCACACGTGACCTGGACAAGAATACATTTATGCGCGATGTCAAGGAGGAGATTCGGGGTATCTACGCCGGTGTTGTTCAGCCGGTTTTTACTGGCTCCATGACGATTAGAATCCACGAAGCTGATGGTACACCTTATGAACATATTGTCGAGATTAAAGAAGGTGTCACCAAATTCGATATCCCTTATAACACCAAATACAAGCGTTTGAAGCGGAACAAAAGGCAGAAAGAACGAGCCGCTGCTGCTTCGGGGGGTGATCCTAATGCAGAAGCACAAGAAGATGTCTTGCTTTATTGCTTGGGCGATGTACTCCAGAGTGAGGAAGAAATCCAAGAGTGGAAGTTGGCTGATTGGAGTAAGGAAGACGAAGAGCGAATGGGCCAGGAGTCTTACGAATGGATTCGCATGGACGCAGATTTCGAGTGGGTTTGCAAGCTTTCTTTGGTGATGCCAGGTTATATGTACCTTTCGCAGCTCCAGCAAGATCGAGATGTTATAGCCCAGTTAGAGGTTAGTTGAATCGTCGCTGCCTTGAGAGCTTTACGCTGACAAACATACCAGTCTCTACAATATATGGCTGCCCAAAGAGAACACCCGTTGATTTCCACGATTTTTGTTCGAACCCTGATGGACCGAAGGTACTTCTACGGAATCCGTGTGGCCGCAGCAAAGGCCTTGATCAGGCATGCCAAGGAAGAAATAAATTGGCTGGGGCTATTCCACCTGGAACGAGCGTTCCAGGAATTATTCTGTCTGCCAGGATCACCCATGACCCGCTCAAATGACTTTTCCGATAGGGCTGCTTATGTGCTTCAATTGGTTATCCCAGAGGCTATCTCGAAAGTACGAGATAACAATGGAAAAACACCGATGCGCGTGAAGCGTTTTCTTTATGACAAGCTGCGGTTCAATGATAATTCCAACAACGAGGTAGGTTAACGCACATTTGACTTGGCCCTAGTTCTTAGCTCATGTCATTTCTAGTATTCGGATAATTATTATGTCGCGACACTTATGCAGTCTCTTTGTCACGCGATGCTAGGCAAAGTTGAGTCTCGCTCCCATGATCTGGATGATTTCGACATGGAGGGGGTCCTTGAGTCTCAGGCCGAAGAAAAATTGGAGAAAGACGCCATTGCCGAAATTGATAGATATCGAAGAATGGATGAATGGTCCAGCTCGTACCAGAACATCTATTCTCGTACTACACTACGCTGTCAGATACAGCTCATGCAAGCCAAAATAACGGAGTTAGATATAATGCAGTTCCTGCCTTATACCCGGGCCGGCACTTATGACCTCCTTCGCTTGGAGGCGTTTGAATGTCTCGTGGAGACCGATATTTTCCAGAGCCCTGAACTCCTAAGATGGTTCATTTTTACCATGTCGAGCGACTCTTCTTCTTGGCTTCGACGGCGACTTCATTACCTGTTTGGCAAGGCGCTTGCTCCTGTGGCTTTTGGTCGCGAATCAAGCGATAAGACCCCAGCTTCCGGTGATGGCTTAATCATTGAACAAGAATCTTCCACCGAGGTCCGCCAGGCAGATCTCGCGCGGAGGCAGACAGTCCCTGGAGCCATAGAGGCACTTAAAGGTGAACTCAAAAGCGACCAACTCCTCAAGGAGTCATTATGGGCTGCGTGCAATTCTCCGTGCATTGGGATCCTGGAACTTTCCGAGTTTACTGATCTCTGCCGCATCTTGTATGACCCGACCACTAGTGTGAAGGTTGCATTAAAGTATCCGCGGTACTGGCAAGTGAAGCATCTCGGGAAGGTGAGTTCTACTGCATCATGCCCGGACCGTCTTACAACAGCGCTAATGTATACTGTAGGGACGTCTGCATTTCACTCGCTCCAGCAAATTCCGCACCTCACTTCCATCAAAAGACGCAAACCCTGCGAAACGCAAACGAGAAGAGCCGGGTATGCCACCCCCTGCTCCTCGCATCACATTCAAGCAGTCAAAGCTTGGTCCAAGTACTCCGTCAGCACACCCAAGTCCACGTCCGCAGCCGATCACCAAGCTGCAAATTCCGAATCGATCCTCCCCCGTACCTCAAGCGCCATCCAGGACACCCGCCACTCCAACCACCCCATCTACTCCTGGAGGTGGAGGGTTCAAATTAAAATTAAAATTTGGCCAGAAGCCAAAATAAATTAATGTGTTTCTTCTTATCATTCTTCAGTCATGTATCTTATACTATTATTTTTTCCCTTATTCCTCTATTTTGGAGGGAGGCTGGTAAAGGAGGCTTATGGCGCGAGGGTGGAATGAATATCGTTTCTCGATTTTATTTTCTAAGATTTCTCCATCTATTCCCCTGTTCCGGTTTTCTTTCTCAAATGCGCGTCTGGTTTGCCGGTTTCATGCCCATTTGATGCGGTATTCTCGAGCCATGTTATGAATGATGTCTTGCATAGCAATCATCAGGCTGTGTCGTCAAAGATTATGTCTCTCGATAAGATATACCAAGGGAACCCCTGAATTTGATCCCTCAAATACTGAAACTGCAATTTGATCGTAAACATGCTTGAGATGAAATCGAAGTGCCTTCGATCGTTCCAAAGAGAGCAACCGACCCGTAAACTCCGTACTGCATTAAATTAATCCCACGATGAAGGTATCCAGCGTTTCCTTTATTTGTCGCTTATACGTTCCAAAGCCTGTGTAGGGATTGCTTGCATTAGCCATATTCAAACGGTGGGTATGCAACAGATATACTAACCTCGAGCATGACGACCGAGTTACCGCGAATGACCTGCACAGATGATTAGCTACGAACTCCCGTCGTGAGAAGTCTCCAAACGTACCACCATGCCAATTGCGACCTTCTCTCCGCCCTGCTTCTCTTCGAAAGCATCGTCGAGCACGATGTTCATGAATACCTGTATCATATAACCGTCAGATCCCAATGACCTAGTCTCCTGATATCAACGCTTTCGCATTCGGGGCCGGCAAGTGAAAGGTCCGCAGCAGTAGAAAAGTTCGAATGATCTCAACGTACATCGTAACCTCTCAGGATACCAATGACTTTGCGGTTGCCGTTCAGTTGGCAAAATACCCGCTTTTCCATGTACTAGTCAAACAACTCCGTCAGCTCCTTTTCTGTCCAAATCAACAAGTAAATGTGAGTCGCAAGGTATACCTTCTTCAACTCGGGCTGAGCTTGAGGCATCTTGGCTAGTGAGTTCTGGTGTATATCCCGCCGTAATGTCGAGGTCAGTCGCGCGGCGGAACTTTGAGACACAGCAGTGGGATTAAAGCTGTGCCGGAGAAATGTTCTTCCCGGCAGCTTCCAAAGATGCGCGGAGCTTAGATTAACGCAACTGTTGAAACAACACACACTTCCTTGCGATAAGCAATATATCTACCAGGAATATCAAAGGGTTGATAATACAAAATCCTTATTATGAGTTCCAAGTTTGCAAACCGCCGAAAACCCCGCAAGATTGGCGGGGAGGATGAAGAGGATGGCGGCGAACAAGGTCAGTGGTTTATGCGCAACATGATCCAAAAAACTTCACTAGATTGAGTAACTAACAAGCCGTAGATATTGGGCCGGTTGTCAAGCGCCCCGTTTCCTCTAAAACGAAAATAAAATCCAAAACGCGCCTGTCGTTCAACCCCGGAGAAACTTCAATGGCTGAAGATGGCGAACAGGAAAGTGAAGTGGTACTACCGAAACGGCAAGGACTTGGGAGGCGAGCACTGGAAAATAGTGCTCTCCAGAGGTCACTCACGCCATCGGGATCAGGTAGTCAGCTTCCACTCAGGGTTGGCCCAGAACAAGATCGGCCAAGTTATAACAATGAATATTTGAAAGAGCTTCGAAATTCAACGCCTTCAACACCAAAGAATACTACCGATGATGACCAAGAGAAGACTATTGATGTCGCAGCAAAGTTTGGCGAGGTTATGAAAGTCACAGCGCCGGCCGCCATTCCTAGCGAAGCAGAGATTAGGGAGAAAAAAGAAAGAAGAGCGCGCTTAGCCAAAGAACAGCAGTATGGAATCTCAACAGAGAAGGACTTTATCTCGCTGAATGATACTATGGAGGATGAAGAGTGGGACTCGAGAAATGCAAAAGAGGATCTAAGGGACACTCGGCTTATTCGAGATGATGAGGATTTCGCAGAAGGCTTCGACGAGTTTGTGGAGGATGGCCGCATAACTCTGGGGAGAAAGGCGGAGCGCGAGAGGGTCAAAAAGCAGCGTGAAGAAATGCGAGAGCTCATTGAAGATGCCGAAGGAGTCTCGGACGAGGACGACTCAGATTTAGAAGAAAAGGCGGCTTACGAAGCCGCCCAAACAAAGGCTGCCATGGGCCACGGCGGCAAAGACTATACAGATCGACCAAAGACTCCTCCCAAAATGACTTCCCTCCCACGTCTATCAACCTGTCTTGACCGTTTACGCACAACCTTGGCTGTCATGGAAAAGTCAAAAACCCAGATGATTGATCGAATGGAAGAACTGAGAAAGGAAAAGGCCGATATAGCTGTACGAGAAGTAGAGATCCAGGCTTTAATCAAAGAAGCTGGGGATAACTACGAGAAACTCAAACAAGAAGCTGGGCGCACTCCTGGCTCGGACGAGGATTCAGCTGCCGAGCGAGGATTGGAGAGTATCGGCCATTCCATGGCAGTATCAACCGGAAACTCCGAGGACGAGTCATGATTTACCGCTCAGGCATAAATGCACCTGCCTCTCTGGATTGCTTACCTGCTTGTTAGGAAAGGTTCGACATCGCCCGTCGTTCTTTCCGGCGTATCGAATGGATTGCTGGAAATGACACCAGCCTGGCTTAAGACCTATTTATGATACCCAACACTTTAGACTTCACTTACCAATCGACTAGTTCTTAACTGTTTCATCTAATCCACTTGACGATGATGCGAATGCCTTTCTTCAATTTTCAGCCGCTACGTAGGACGTCGCATACTCGTGGGAATGCACAGTGAGTCATACTAGGAGCTTCCTGATATATATGCCTGGCTCATAACAAACTGCAGCCGGCGAGAATCCATACCGTTTATTGAAACCCCTATTGATGGGAATCATGGAACACGCCTCCACAGGCATTTCGATGCTACTCCTATCGAACTGTTCTTTGACTTGTTTTTCGTGGCGAATCTCTCTACCTTTACTGCTACGCATGAAATTCACAATGTAGAAGCCTTAGGGGCTTACATAGGCTTTCTTGGGGTGATTTGGTTCACCTGGCTTCAGGTTACTCTATTCGACATCAGATTTGCCAGGGACTCGATTTTCGAACGAGCCTGCAAGGCTATACAACTAGCAGCTATGGTTGGTTTTGCATCTGCAGGCACGCGGTTTACCACCCGTGTTAAAGACGAAAATGTTTGGGCCTTTCAATCACTGAGTATCTTTCTTGGCGGAAGCCGAATCTTACTGGCTCTGCAATATACGGTCAACAACATCGTCTTCATTCGGAAACGAATGAGGCCTGCTGCCAAAGGGGTCTCCATCATCGCCGCGACGCTGTTTGTCTCGAGTTTAATCTATCTGGGGGTATGCTTACCGCACAGACAAATAATGACTACTATTGAAGCCACATGCATAGTCTGACCTGTTGGATAGATGTTTTATATCTTCGGGGTGCAGGACGGGATCCGCTCCTATATATGGACCGTTTGGTTTGCTTTGTTCGGAATAGAGATGTGGGTTATAATGGGAGTATCTTGTGTGACACCCGGAATTGGGCTCCAAGATACCCACTTGAATGTAAGAATGGGTCTCCTTACACTAATCATCATTGGCGAAGGGGTCATATCAGTCACCAGAATTGTGAATAGGACCGTGCGGCCGGGGGGCTGGACTAAGTGGTCGTTTGTTCACATTCTAGGAGTCACTACTAATGTGGTATGTGGTCTCAGAGATTCGATCTATCGTCCCTTTCGGGGTTGCTAACACCTCAGGAGTAGTACTTTCTGTGGCAAGCGTATTACGATCTCTCACCAAGGGGCATGCTTGGCAAATATTCCCAGCAGCTATGGGCCCAGCTCCATTTTCCCTTTCATGTGGCCCTAGTTCTACTTCTTGAAGGATCGCAGATCCTTGCTTTGACCCTAGACATTACCTTGAAGCTCACGTACCTCGAGGAAACTATCATGTTTGCTTGCGAGGAACCACGGCCCAGACCCGGAATAGCCATTGGTCTCCTTCGGAACACCATTGAGGACATGGAGATTAATTACAGCCGCGGCGCAATAAAAGAAAAGATGGCCATCGACGCAATCTTGGAGGATTTGCCCAACCACCCCTTGTGCCTGGGAGAGAACGTGATCGGTTTCTTCGTCACAAATGATCACCTTAATAACCTTGTGGGTAATGTTACTGCCGCTCTGTTTTCCAGTATGGGAATCATACCTTCGGAGGAGACAAACATAGGACAGTTGACTAGCTCGCAGTTGCTGAGGATGTACATGGAGCTACTAGGGTTTGTCTACATATATTTTTTCGTCGTTGCATCACTGGTGATGTTTCTTTTTGCTGCCTTTGCATTGTTGGCTCGCCGCCACAGCTTCTGCACTAGTATTGGAATAACGACCCGCATCATCCTCGGGGTGCTCTTGGCGAGCTTAGTGTCTTTCGTCGGGAAATTTGGGCTTGCGTACGATTTCATGACATCTCCAACGATATTATACGCATTCACATTTGTTCTTTTGACAGGTGGGCCGTTCATCTTCGACTAGCTTCTGTTGATTTTTCCGTTCTGATTATCACAGTGTCTGGCGTTGACCGACTCTTGGACCTCTGTGAGAGCCATTATGAGACCAATGCGAACCTGGAAGATGCAGGGAAGCGTAGTCATTCAGATACCTCCTAGCCCCGGGCTTCTCACGGATCCCTCCCTATCATGGCTCCATTTATAAATGCGTCGAATAGTCAGCCATGGAGATCTACACGGAAACGAAACGCCCGACTGCAAGTGTATCACATGAGATCCTGCAGTAGGGCATCCTTCGTCCCATAGAGAAGCAGAGAAGCTGAATCAACGACTATAGCGGTATACTTTGCCACCTCTATTTTTGCGTGATTAGTGTGTCCATATGTTACCCTTTTCCTTCAATGTAGGACCTATGGTTATATGGTTCTGCCCCAAACAACCTCAAGAGTCCTAACCTCCATAGGAATCGATAATGGGCACGGGCCCAGGACGGATTTCCATCAAATCTCTCATCACCTGCAACGAATGCGAGAAAGGATCGATGTACTGTAGTACACTGTGTGTCCTATAGATACCACCACACAACTCGGGGTGGAAAATTAGCGCCAAACATGGTAGTAGTTTGTTCCTTTTTCTGGTAGCACACCAACGTCCCTTGACTCCAGTCGTACTGACAAGGAAACCCCACTGGGAGATTAAATCTGGTCGGGATGGTTTTTTACCATGTAACACCGCTGTTGGGATATGAGGCTGTGAGGGTGTGTAGTGCAAGGCCGTGGTTCAATTAGGGTTAGTTTTGGCACTCCCCGCCGTTCATTTTTATTTAATCCCCCTGAATTAATCTACCTGTTAATACTCACAAGAAAGAATGAAAGAAAATAGTAACTTGTCACTGCATATTATAACAGAATATTAAAGCATATTTCTATCTTTGGTTTTCTTTTTTCCCTTTTTATTTTATTTTATTTTTCTTTTTTGACGATCGTGGAAGATCGAGCTTGCATCGATGTTTTTGATGCTAGTAGGCTCCCCCGGCCCGTTCTTTCCGGTTTGTATGTCCATACCTAGTCTCCCGGAACCAAACGCTTGGGAACCCGAAACTGCGTTTAAAAATTCTTTCTTTTCCAGGTTTCCCAGTTGGCCACACCTTAGATAAAAAAAGGTACTTTTGAAATGTTCCCTTTTTGGGAGGGAATGGTGGTAATGTTGACCCTAATGTTGCATGGAGTGTGGAAGAGGAAGGGGGTTCGGGGATGGTGCGCGGGGTGGGTGAGGCTTGCACTGCATAAAACTACATGGACCCAAAAAATGACAAGTGGATGGTGTACCTGGGACAAGTCCAGGGGTCCTGGAGTAGGGAAATACGCATCATGTGGGGAGAGAAGTTCTGGGCCTCTCTCTCTCTCTCTGGCATGGTTTATTTTCCTTCTTCTGCTTTTCTTTTTGTTGAATGAAGGGGAAGGGTTCTCTTGTGCTCCCTTTCCTGGATTTCTCTGGGGAAATGTGGGTTTGGGGTACTTTAGCTGTGTATGTGACTGTGCGGCGGGTTCTGCAGGATTTCAATCCGAGAGAAGAAATGGTATAGTAGGGAACCGCTCTTGTTCCATTTCGAGGACTTGAAGACAAACCGATTGGTTTGCATGTGTGGTAGGTCATGAAACCGGAGGTCAATGGTTCAATGACATTAGGGAATTGGTATATGTTTGAGTAGCCTAAATGTACCTGAGGGTCGTACTCTCTGCGCTAGAATCCCTTCTTCGTCATGTCTAGCCATGGATTTATCTTTTGTGGATAGAGCTGAAGTGACCTGCATATGCACATTACCCCATGACTGGTACCCACACTGTCAATAGTTAGGACCACACTCAGAGAAAGAAGGAAGAGGAAAAGGCAGGGCCGGGAAGTCTAGAAACGTGCTCAAAAGGGTGGAGCAAACGTCAGTTCTATAGACTCAACGGCGCCACCGTTGTTGTTTCCGATCATTTCTTTGACGCCAATAGATGTTTCGGGTTCCCAGCCCCATGGCTGGCGATATGCGGTCATCGCTGAAGGTGGCATAGGGAAAGTTGATATGAACAAAGCCTTATGTGGGTACCCGGGCATGCCTTTACACATTGCCAGTAAAAACTACCACATCTACCAGATAGACAGAGTGCCACGAAATCTTCTTTTGTCCTTTCTGCATGAGTTCCCGATGCTCCTTTGCCTCGCATTTCGCCTCTTACGCCACAAATGATTTCTCGATTGGGCCGATTGGCCATCCATGAGGTCGAAATTGAGACTCATCAATTGATCACCTAGTAAAGTATTGCAGGGTGACCGTTGTAAACTTAGTTCTTCCCTACACGATTGGTGGCACCCGTTCTTATTTCCCGGCACTAGATGAACTATAGGCCGTCGGTCGTCATCATCTAGCCCAAGATTGGAGGGCAATATACTCTAAAGAGAGCAAGGAATGTTTTCGCATCAGGGCAGGGGGTAGACGAAGGCTTGATGGAGATTGTCAGCCATTTCAGGGGGTTGAACAGAGAGATCTTACTAAAAGAGATAGCTGATCTCGGTGACAATATACAAGAGCTCAATCCAACCTTGTTTTTCTATGCTTTTCTTGGGCATCGCCTTTTCTTGTCTCAGAGACGTTGACAACCTATTGCTCCTCCAGTCAAACCTGGGTGGGACACAACTTTGGGCAAGAGAATCCCAAGAGTGCGCTCCACCAGTCGGGTTACTTCACCAGGGAGAGGAAGTTTCTGCTGGGTGGGAGAGTCTGAGACATCACGGCGCCCACTTGGAATCTCTGTACCGTGGCCTATAGGAGGAAAAAGGTCTCGTGTTCAGCCTATAGGTATCAGCATAGGACAAATCGGTTCACTTTTCGCTTCCGAGCCGGACTCTTTTTTGCTTTGTTTTGTTCCATATCCCTGAGTTCCCACGCCATAGGTTCCAGAGCAAGTCTTGTCGTTTAGAACTCGTCGGCGATTAAGACACCACGGTCAGCTTCAAGTGGCCCTTGTGCTGAGGCCTCGAGAACTCGCCCAGTATATTTGGGGTATGTTAGTCGATTGCGAAAACCAATCGAACCCTCCCCATACTTATCCAAGTGCTAGATAGGCTAATGATCGCTGCAGGCGTCAATTGGACTAGCAACGTGCATCACTCAGAAGCACCAACTCCTGTACGTTCTCCGGTCAGTCCCAACTGGAACCATAATTGACAGAAGCGGTGAATTGGCTGTCAGCAATAGTTATTTGTCTCATTTTAAGGCGATGGTCGACGTTCATGTTGATCCGGTTAAGCGAAAAACAAGACTAGCCTTCGACAAAGACCTCGTTTCTCCTAATTTGGCTCCAAGCCATTCCCTCATTCATAATTTCGGGGGTGTTTTCCCGACTAATTTCTGTGCCCCGCAAACTGAATCAATATTGTGTTCTAGAGAAGCCACCGAGAGTCAAGAATCCCAAATGCACCGCTGGCTGGAACCCAATGGCTGCCATTCAATGGGCCCTGATGACATGGCAAACAAAACTTTGATGGCCTATAGAGCTATGAGCAATGACCTTGGCTGCTGGCCTGAAACTCTTACGTCAACAGATTTCGAGGAAAATAAGGTGCAACTTTATGGCTGTCGGGTTCAGCCATCGTCGCAAATCCAGGGCTCGTTCATACAAAACGGTCGCGAGATATCCGTACCTCATACTCATGACCAGCACACACAAAATGCTGTGTATCCCGGCAATGAAGAGTTAGCAGTAGGAGAAAAGGTCGAGACGGATGATGTCATATTTGGCATAGCTCATCCAATCCCCCGGCTGCCCATCTCGTGTATGAACGGCAGCTTCTCATCTTTTTCCGGACCTGAACCTGAATTTGTGGCAATATCACCCTTCAGTACGCCTGATAATTCACGCGAACCTTTGTTCATTGACAGCAGAGCTCCACACCAAGAATGGACAACAAGCGAAGTCGACTCATCTGAGCTTTTCCTAACGTCATCGGGAAAAAGATCTGTGCCTATTGTCAACTACTTCACTCCAGTTAGCGGGCCTGTTACGCCGCCTCCTTGGCCCACTGCTGGAGTTCAAACAGCCTGGAATGTGCAGCAAGAAAACACTAGTCGTGGTGATGCCTTCTGGGTGGACATTCCATGTGGATTGAGCATGAATGGGCATGATGGTCACGTCGAAGAGGACTTCGATCATGCTCCCACTATCAACGACAATATTCCTAGTTCGCCGCTGGAGGGAAACGCCTGTCAATATTATGTGCAACCAACTATGGCCCGCTGCCAAAGCAGAGTCGTGCATGTTAGCATCCCCTTTGTCAAAGAGCGACCCCCAGAGAATTCAGAGCACAGCCCAGCGCAGCCCTACCATGATAGCCCATGTATACACCACTTGATGCATCCAACCCATACAACCAACAGGGGATACGTTCTCCGAGGCCAACGAGCTAGCAAACAAACTGCTTGTCACAGCAATGGCAGAGACGAGTTTCTGGTGGAATGTAAGCTACGCGGGCTCTCTTACAAGGACATCAAGAGAATTGGTGGCTTCAAAGAAGCCGAGTCAACACTTCGAGGAAGATTTCGGACGCTCACGAAATCCAAAGAACAGCGGGTGAGGAAACCTCAGTGGCAAGAGAAAGATGTTAGTACTTCCTAAGGATGCCCGAGGCAGGGTCTATTACTGGTTACTGATGAGTCTGTAGATAAGCCTGCTGTGCCAGGCAGTGAAGGCCTGCATGGAAGACAACAAGCAAGCCCGTAGTGGTAACGGGCCTAGCTGTCAATCTTCGGCTACCAGTCAGCCACCCAAGGTGTCCTGGAAGAGGGTAGCCCAATATATTTGGCTTCATGGCGGCTCATATCACTTTGGAAATGCCACTTGCAAGAAGAAGTGGTGCGACATACACGGTGTGACGTTCTGGGATTGATCTCCGGCATGTAATGCCCAGGAAGTTCTTCGATGGATGCAATAGATGAAGGAAGTGCAAACGGCCCTTTCTGATAGCGTTTGACTATATCCACATGACGAGCTTAGGTTTACTGTGGCCCTTTGCTTCACCATCTCTTTCCCACTTGGAGTGTCCATGTTTACTTTGATACAAGGAGCTTATTAGCAGTATCTGTTGTGTTTGGGCTAGTTTGGCTAGCCTTTACCCAACTCTTTTTGTTTTACCTCCGTTCGTTCTCTTCTAATAGTGTAATTTCAACTGTTTAAGTCACTGTGGGACATTGGCCTGAAGTCTGTACGGTTTCTTCTCCATTGTATGGCTTCGTATAAATGTTTCTCGTCCCAAGGCACTCCTGGTTAAGAAGGAATGTTATGGGGGTGATCGAGACACAGAATTCAAAGCAGGGAGAGTGCGCGCGTATCTGGGTGAGGATACCCAATTGTCGTCAGTATATCTTTAAGGGAATCCGGGTTACGACGTAGCTCGTCCCATTCGGCCTCGGCTTTTACCATGAGTGTGCCAGCAAGGATTGTACCATTCAAGGCCACGATGCCAGCCCCGGAGACCTCCGCTGACGTTGCACTATCAACTGGGATTTGAGCACTTTCATTTCTTCTCGGACAGATCATCATCACTGAATCCGTCATTGCTAGATTGTAGCTGATAGCAGCTGGACCACTGGTCGCCGGGGAGGAACCTTCCACGCTTCCTTGTGCAGCTGCTAACGCTGCTCTGTACAGTGACAGGTAAATGTGATGTAGGTTGTCGGCAGAGGGGTTCGGGGGCAACGGAAGGGCAAAATGTGCGAAGGGTACCTGACCCCATCGCAAGAATTTAGAACCGGGGCATGTTGGCTGACTTGAAACTGCATCAATCAAGGGCTGCCAGCTCCCCGAGTCACTTTGGGACATGGCTTCGACGGGTAAGAACTGTAAATGCCTATGAGGCTGACTCGCCCCGCTCTCGTTGCCGGAGTTGAAAAAGGCGAAAAGCCGCTTGGAGGTTGCGCCGTTTGCCTTGTTCTCCTCACTCCATGCTTTGAGGCAAGAATAAGCCGCATCCAAGTCCTCCCTCTCCAGGATGTCTGTTTGAAGTCTCCATTCCTTTGTAGCTAAGATAAAATGATTGGGAATTACGGGGAATTTGTTGAGGACTAGTATATGGGTTGGGTTCTCTCGGGGTATCTGAGCGATTAAGAGCTCTGGAGACGGGTCCTGGAAAGGGTCGAATTTGGGTTTGGTAGTGGGCTTTCCAGTGTTTGGAGCCCCTGATGGCTTATTTGCAAGGGCAGGGCAATACCGAAGTTGATACTAAGACAGAGGAGAATTACAGTTAGCATTGGCCTTGGTAGGGCAAGATTCAAAGAGGAAAGGGTACCGGTATCCCTGTAGTCTGAATGGTGGTCAGGTGTGTCTGAGAGAATAGAAGGTGACCAGATCCTTTAGCCGCCGTGAAGCGCTTGGATACGAGGGCCGGAAGACTTTCTGACAAACCTAATTGCATCTTGTTAATGACCGGTTCTGAATCTGTTGCGAGGTTGAAATCAGGTTGCGGCAGATAGAGGCGGAAGGCGGGGGACCATGTGAGCGGGTAGAAACGAGGCTAAAGTCCGGATTGGCGTCATCCGATTCCTGGATACTAGTCAAGTCTATATTGAACGATTCTTCAACTACACGCAAGTCAAGTATTTGGAGAGAAAATCATTGTATAGTCACATTGGACCTCAAGATCAGTGTGGGATGACCTAATTAATGTGGATAAATAAAAGCTTTTTGTTTTTTCCATCTTGTCCTCCTTGAACTCCGCAGGTCCAGCCAGCCAAAGATCAGGATTAATACATCATATAAGTACAGAGTTGGGAAGATGGAACCCAATATATTTAAAAGGAAACAACAACAGAGAATGGTATCACACTAGCCAGACATAAGAAAATATCGCTAACATCATGCCACGTATGCAAAACAAGAGCCGAACTTAAGAAACTGAAGAGTGTTCAAGCCATGAGCTCATCAATATCTACCTCTCCTTCATAAGGATGGGACAGACTGGCCATCGGCATGGCCGGTGGCCCAATCATCTGAGAAGAGGGCCCATCTAGCCAAGGACCCCGTTCTTCATCAGTAGCACTGAGGATGCCTTCTGCGCGCTTCAAAGTTTGGACGTCCAGATCGGTCACATATGCCTCTCGATTAGTGCAGTCACCAGTGCCGCCAGGAAGCTTTACACGGACTTCATGCTCGTTTTTGAGCATCATTTCGTCCTTCAACAGACGGCGTGGGCCATCAAATACACACAGAACGCGCTTTCTGATGTTGATGTTGCTTCTGGGGCAACCCCAGGATTGGGGGTAGCGATCACGGTTGTTCCGTCGCTTGGAGGCGATTGGGCGCTTGGTAACGGCGCTGTTTCCCAGTGTCACACGGGCGGAAGTACTTGCGCTGCCTCTGTTGGCTTTCATAGCACTGTTGGTGGATCGCCGGAGAGACAGAACCTCATTTGAATCGTCTTCATCGTCGTCAAGTTCATCATCGTATCGATAAACGGTACCAGCCGTGTCGAGCAGCTTATGCTTCTCCATGGTTTTCTTCACCTCCTCATCCGAGTCAACTTCGGCCAGGCATCTCTGGTTGACAGCCTCACTAGGTTGCTCCTTTTGCACAACTCGGAGAACACAGTCGTCCAAGTGTTCGTAGAATTCCTGAGCGTTATCGAAGGTGTCAGGGCATGTCGAGCACTTGACAATCGCATCGTGGCGATATCCTGTGGCAGCCTTGTTAGACGCAGCTGGGCTCTTCTTCCGGCAGTTTGGCGGTGTTTGCTCCACGCCATGTACTGAAGTCAAGTGACGCTTGAAGACATCTGCTCTGTTGAAGCTTTTTTCCGCCGGCGAGCCAGATCCTGGACAAAAGCCGCAGACCATTGTTCCCTTGTAATGGATGAGAGTATGACGGTTCTTGTCATATTTGCGGGCGAAGCCCTTGATATGATATTCACAGTTAACAATGGGGCATTTCTCGGGCCTCTCCGACCGATGGGTTAGCAAGTGGGCCTTCAAATCTTTGAAGACGCGTCCGCAGTCAGGGTGGGGGCACCGTCCCTTCTCCTTGGTGTCATCATCAAGATCCGCGTTGCTAGCAGCCGGGCTCAGCTGTGAGCGACGGGAGAGCTCAGAGGAGATGGAGGACCTCCGGTCATTGATCAAAGGGGAAGATGTCGGGATGTGATTGAGCTGCTGTGCAATTGCCTGCTTCGTATGGCACTCCTCGGCTTGGGGAAGATAGGGAAGTTCGGGGGACTGAGGATGGAACCCATGATAGCCGTAGTTCGGCTGCTCGGGGTATGGCATAGACGATTGAGGAATGTTCGTTTGGGGCTGTAATGTCTCAATCAAAGAAGGATCTATTGTTAATACACTCGTCAGCGATCTACCACAGCATGCTTGGGATTGGGGGGGATGCAATTCAGCTTACCAACATAGTTATCTGGGTTCTTCTTTGAATAGAAGCCTTCCATGTCCAGCGAGTTCCCAATGTATTCATTCGGGAAGAGGTCACCCATGACCGCAGCCGGCAGCCCCAGACCGTGATTCGTGTCGACCCAATTCTCGTGAATCGCCGGGGCAGTTCCTGAGTAGGGAGAGCCTATAGCGGAAGACGAAGCACTTGCGATTGAAGGGCCAGAGGCGGTGGAAAGACCAGGCATGAAAGGTTCGGAATGTGAGATCGGGACTGAGGGTGGAGTGGCCGGCATCGGCGGGTAGCTGGTCACTTTATTGGTATCGGCATATGCATCAATCGACGGGGTATCATAATGAGATGACTGGGGCAGACGCGAGGAATTGGGACCTTGTCCGAAGCCACTCAGGTCCACGTGAAAGGTAAAGGGCTCGGTTAAAGCGGGATCCATGGTGAAATGCTGGAAGTATGGAGTCTGCTGCTGTCTCGACGATTCGAATGCCAACATTTCGCGTTCGATGTTATATTGTGGAGGAAAGAGGACAAAGTCAGGATGATCACTGTGGGCTTGCATGCCCGCTTTTGGTTCAAGGGTTGATTGTTGTCAATATGTGGGGATTGGAATGCGAGGGTTGAGATCACTATTAGTGTTAATCGTCAGCCACCATTACAATTCCGCTCTTCGCTAAAGGGAGACTTCGCAAGCGATGGATTGAGTTTCAGAGGAACGGGCCGCACGGGAAAACATACGATCTTTCCAACGGGTCAACAATAGATAGGTCTCAAGGGTCTGCTGAGGAGTTCCAAGAGATTGCGTAGTATCAATCCAGGAGAGGGAACAGTGGTGATGTGAGGCAATGGCTCCGGAAGCAGAGGATCGTGTCGGTTTGGATAGGCACGGCAATGCTTTGCAACTTCCCGATTGGGACAGACAATGGAGCAGTAAAATAGACAATGATATACAAGAAGATGAAAGCAGTCGACCCGAGTCAGGCAAGGAATCAAGGCCCTTGCTTCCCAAAGTGAGGATGACGAAGGACGATGGAGAGGACGAGATGCTTTTGTAACACACTCTCGAGAAATTCAACCAGAAGATTCCCGTACTGAGAGGGGAATGAGAGGCCTGCAAAACAAAAGAAGGACGGAGAGAGGGGAGCAAAAGCATTGTTAAATGTTATGTGATTGCTGGCCCTATGAACCATCTAGGATTCGCAAGTGGATTGGACTAGACCAGGATTGACTAACTACGAGCGAACTAAACTAAACAACGCTAAAAGAAACCCATCCAGACTACTGGAGGTGGAACGCGCAGCAGAAAGACAGGGGAGTCAAGGTGTGGGTGCGTGTGGGCGGATGATGTCGATGATGATGGTGGTTGAAATGTGGGGCGCCAGAAGAACTAAAATAAAATAAAATATGTAATAATACAGAAATAATTAAAAAAAAGAAAAGAAAAGAAACAGGGAGACTAGTGGAGATGTCCGACCAGCAGGGGCAGGCAGTGATCAGGGCCGCCTTTAGCATCGTATTCTTAGCACTGCATCTTACTTACCCATGGCACGCTACTATTCTTACCATACCGCTAACCCTGCATTACTGCACAGCCAGGCAGTTCTCCATCTTAGCGATCGACTGTATTGACCTCTTTTCCGCTTTTTTTTATTTTCTATTTTCTATTTATTTTTATGAACTCACATTTTATTTATTTTATTTTATTTTTTTTATTTCATTTTCATTTTCATTTGTTTATTTTTCGACTCGACCTTTTTCATTTCGTTTCATGTACCCTCCTTTGGTCCTTAGTGCACCTACCAGGGACATTTCTTCTCTATCTGTATGTTGAGAGATATTTCGAAAGCAGAAGATTTTAAGGTCTACAACTTCTACGTAAAATGTACACTGGAGTAAGGAGTTTGCAGAAAGTATTGCACTGGAGGAAAAGCAATTCGTCATGAGGACCCGTCGTAGCAACAGCAGTAGTACTCCGGAGTAGCAGTCGAGGAAAAACTCATAGCCCATCTCCCCAAAATCCAAGGGATCCACTTGTACTCAACCAATGCATTTGTCCGAACGACGACAAGGTTCAAACCCATCAGTAATACAATTCTTCCTCTCGAGGATTCCGCCCTATGAGAGCTTCTCGTAAGGGTTCCTGCATTGTATTTCGCGAGCACATGATAGAGGGAAAGACGTTCAATTGTCACCATTCCTGCCAGTTCCGGACGGCTTTTTTTGCCTCCCTTTCGATCCTTTGTAAGCATTTACTCGCAGGACCACCTTAGGGGGAAGCACTGACGGCTCCTTCATGGCACCCCATTTGCATCCCTACCATGCGTGCTAAAATTCCTGGGGTCTGGGACCCAGTCGGAGACACCGTCTGTACATCCAGAGGTACATTCCTGACACATGTGTCATCGGCAAGTCCGTAGCACACAGACCATGGTTGACTTGGCGTGCTCGGTAGCCTATTTGGAACCTTGACAATTACTCAAAACAGCTTATGGTGGGTTCATCAATATTACCCTTCTGATAAGATGGTGGCAAATCTCTTCTCTCTTCATTTCCTGGAGAAAGAAAAGAGAAGGGGGAGACGGAAAGTAAGCGGCGATGGAGTTCCGTGCTAAGACATCGATTTGGAAATGGACAACAGCTAGTCTTTCCGTTTTCACTTAGCATGAAGCTCATCAACCCCAGTTTTTAATATCCAAATTCAATAGTCAATGCAGAAGAGTCCACTCCTGTCACAATTCTGAAGATCGAAAGTCAATTATCGGCCGGTACTTGACAGAAAACCGACAATCAGAAGAGAATGACAGTACAAGCTTCTTTCAGGTGCTATCAGTTGGCCCGTCCAAACTGATCTACTAGACAGGAGTAGTAACAAAAACCATTTTCCCAGTCGGACGCTCCTTGACCCCGTCTGTCCCGTCAACTCGGTTCAGTCAGATCGTCTGCAAACACCCCCCAGGAGCGACATTCAAATTTACCTAACTCGGACCAAGTTAAACAATTGGATCTGGGCCTGTGGCCGCCAACTCCGAACACTATCGCAGAAACACGACGATCTTGCCTTTTTTGAGGGCACGATGCCCACCCCTTTCGAGAAACGTGCATTTTCTGAAGTTCCCATGGGAATGATTGGCCCTGGGTCCTTGACCTGCAAATGAAGCGTCATCGGACTATCGAGGCCACTGTACCAATCACGGGCCGTAGATGGTCCCAGACGGGAAGAGGATTCTCATCTAGGGCCGCCCGACATCAGGAGCCCGGACAATCACTCTGCCCAATTTGGAGAAATAAACAAACTGACGGCTTGTTGAATAAATTATGCGGAGCCGCACATCGCCCATATGCCCGGTAATAGGGAAATTATAAGGATGTTATTATTATTATTATTATTATTATTATTATCTTTGATAAGAGTCCCCCTTGTGTCTTCCAAGGGTGTCTCTTACCTCATCACCTAATTACCTTTTCCGGAAGGACTCTCGCGGATGGATCCATTGTCAATACCTCGCCCGCCTAATAGGTAATCCATGGTATTGCATCCAGGCTATGCGATTCTGCCACTGAGCAGCAAGGAAATTCACAGTCTCCCAATCTTAGAACAATGATGTCAATCTGTCAATCATATCATGACGTTGGGACAATACAACAAAGGAATCTTCAACTCCCAGCAAACTGCTGTGCTCATGCAGTGGCTGAGCCTGCTTTTCCGGTATCGACAAGTTAACCTTTACGATACCCGACGGTAGGGCCGAGGAAGCGATGGGCCGAATCGTGTTTGTTTTGCTGGACCCAGCAAACCAAAGACCCGAGAAAGTATAAAAAAAATAAATTCAAAAATAAAATAAAATAAAAAAGACAAGGCGGGGAACAACAAAACCCACGGAAGAGGTCGCCCGTGTCGATCGACCCCGATTTATATTATTGATTTTCATAGATTTTACGTTGGGGAAATGCTAGATATCCTTAATTCCGATGGAACGGAAGATTTGGCGGTCGGAGAGCGCAACCTGACCGATCTTTAATTTTTCATCTCCTCTGTACGAAAATCACTGCAACGCAACGCCCAGACACCGTCAGACTCTGCACACCATATGCGATGTACGATGTATATACCAAAACCAGGCTGGCTAGCCCGTTACACATGACGGCCACGGGCTCCTACCAGACGTCTCACTAGACAAGGGCCCATCAGCTACGCCTAGTAAGGCCCCGAGGCCTCAGTAACAACAATGACGCCGAAGGGCTCCATACGTACTCTGCAGCTCACGACCTGTCGGTGAGCAAAAGCCACCACAGCAGACATTAGCGCCACAAAATCCGAGGAAGCCACAACCAATAGCCTATCGCGTGTCATCGCGCGGATCTTCCCGCACATCCATTGGAAGATCTCCATACGCTAAGATGGATTGAGGCGCAGCACACACCGCTTCCTCTGCCCAGCACCCAAATTTTCTTCCGTGCCCCCCGCCTAGGCTATACACTAGCACAGTAGTAGGAGGTGGTTATTGCTCCGTCGCTTTCCCCATGCCATCATCGATGCAGCATTGCTATGTCATAACGCCAAATGGGGGGGCTCCGCACGCCAACAACGCGATCAGGAACCAATGAACCGGGCCTCGTGGTTCGCCGACAACGAGGCTCACCGATTTTTTCCATCTGGCTTCCGGAACATTGTCCCCCATGCTTTGCCAAGGCTGGGTTATGTGCGGTGGGGTATCTACGATGACGGATGCGAGGTGCAGCAGCAGCATGGGACGTGTTCTAGAAAAATCGAGCGGTGGGTTATTCGCTGGGTATGTTTCGTGGCGCGTTTCTAGCGTCGTACGATATGATATGTCATTGTTTAGCGTGGTTTCATCTATAGGGTAGGATTGGATGGTTTTATTTTGTCTTGGGTTGTCGGAGGTAATATGTTGCGAGTGTGTATTGTTTTATTTATCGACACCTAACTCAAAATAACACTATCAAGCACCTAGCGTAGTATATACACTAAAAACAACCGTAGGAATGGTG